TATTATATAATTATTAATAATAATCCTATATTAAACGGTATTTTAGTTGAAAATGCGCATGTTCAAGTAATCAAACTAACTTAATATTCTGTATTATTTAATTATTAATTATTAATATATATATATATACGTATATATCATACATATAATATATATAATAATTATATAATATATACCATATATATTATTTATTATGCATTTATTTAAAACAATTTAAATATATATTTTTTTTAATATTGTCGTTATAACTATAATTAAAGTAAGTCGGAAGACTTAAATTCCATTGTGGTATTTGCTATTTTTTTCAAACTGTCATGCTTACTAGACCACTAGTTATAAATATCGCCAACATATTTAAATATATCAAATGCTAGCCAAGAGCTAAGCAATGGCACTAAAGTTTTCAAAAGTTTCACTTTTATGTTACTTAATTTATTTGCTGTTTACTCAGTTCTGCTCAAATATCTCAATTAATAAAATTAACTTGCACTCGGTTGCCAATTAATTATTTATTCACAATATTTTAATTTAATTTAAATAACAGACAACACAACGATTAATATTGTTTTGACCACAATGTCCAATAGTTGCCAACACCGTTTCTTTAGTCGTTTTAGCATTCTTAATAGGTTCAAGTTTATGGGTAGAGAAGGCAAAGTACTAATCAACACGTCGCACTCCGTTCGCTCGTATGACAATTCCAATCTACACAAATAACTACATTTATGTATGTGTAGTTATTTTTAAATGGTACTGACCATTGTATAATGAGGCGATCTGATGGTGTTTCTGACGCCCACATAAGCAACTTGTCACCACTGGCCGTTCCTACAGTAGTTATGTCCGTTATGGACTAACTGATAAGACAACTAATTATTTCCTCTCCCATGCAACAAGCTCAGCTCATTGTTGTGAGTTTATAAATTAATGTGCTGAAACAAATTATTAATTATTAATTGCAAATCATTTATTTATAAATTTGTATACAAATATATTGTATTTAATATTTGAATTATAGAAGTACTTAAGTACCCGATCAGTTGCACTTGCAGTTTGACACACGCGTCGGCCGTTCTTAAGTGGTAGTGTGCTTTTGAATTAATTGGTCACTGTTGTTATGCTCTGACTTTGCTTGGAGGACAGATCATCCAACCTAATCTGCACTTCTGGTTAATTAAGTCAATTGAAGTAGTGGCGGCGTATGTGGGTGTGCTGAGCGGCTGCCAATTGTCAGTTAAATGAATTAAAAAGGATTTGATTAATTAACTGTATTAAGCTCTGCACCACAACAGGATTGGAGGAGGAAATTCTGTTTAAGAAATGTTAAAAAAATATCTCATTTTAATTATTTATTTAAATAACATACTTAAGACCTAATTAATTAAATTATTTATTAAAATATCAATCGATTTGTTCTGATAGATTTAATATGAATCAGAATTTACTGTTATATAAAAATTATATACGTCTAACTGAATATTTAATGCGAACTTATTGATTCAGCAAGTCATTAATAAAGATTAGAATTTAAAATCGATTAATTGCTTTTTTTAACGAACTTAACACTACAATAAGAAACATTTAAATATAGTAATAAAAGAAATGTTTAATCTCTTTTGTAGACAGACTAGAGATTGAGGTTCAATAGGTACAATGCTGTTATTTTTCAAATAAACGTTTTACAGATAAAAGAATATATATATATACATTATTATAGGGAGTATTATATTTGAGGGTTATGCACCCACGGATAATCCTCATACAAATCTGTGTACCGATGCCTTATTGTAGAATTAGTTAGTCTATAAAGGGTCATGGGCTCGTCAAAATTGGCTCTTTTGGGCAGAGTGTCACAAAAATAGTAATAATTTGCTACTATAAGACACAAATGTTGACATTTATTACTGAACAAGACTATATTGCCTAAATGCCGAGCTTGGCTCTCAACCTTGGCTCTCACGATCAAATTTGAACCGACATATTATTTTTTCTCTCGTTCTCGATTTTATAATTTGTATTAAAAACAACAATTTTGATTGTGGCGAGTCCGTGACACTCTACATAATATGACCAAAATTTGTCTCTGATTAATAACTGACTATATATCAAAAGCCGCTATTACTACTATAGTGTGATACAACACATTATCGGTAGACTGAAGTATTGGTATATTCTCAAAACAAGATTTTCGTCTTGAATAGAATAAGATCTATGTTGTTTACATACAAGAGAACTGATAACTTACCTTTACCTATACTGCCATCTTAATATGAACGTTCTGTCTGAAGTGTTAGAATATGACCTCAACCTGATATATAAGGCATAAGAACTTCTTTATGACGCTTCTATTTTGATCGGAGCTAGAAAAAAGGGCTTCATGAGACTTATTCTGACCTCGATTCAGATCAGTTGCTGGCATAAGAAATTGAAGCCTATAGAATATGATCATTGTACTTCGCATCGCAGAGGACCTAAAAATTCGTTATATTGTATTTTATTCTGCTTCTATTCTTGAAGCCCATAGAATTGATAAATAAGAACGATTGAATAACATAAGCAATCGCTTTCTTATATTTTTGATAAGCAATTAATCTGCAAAATCTTAAAGATAATGTGTCATCATATGTTTTGTACAACATATGCTTTGAAAGTTTCTACAGACCTCAATATAGATCAACAAATTCAGACACATTTAAAATGAACACGTTAAGAACAAATGCAGAATATTTACCACTAAATACAAACACCAAAATCGAAGGTTAATAATATAGATGAGATCGTATACTGCGCTATATACCTTGACCGGCTTGATAAAAATAATGCAAGCATTCAAAGTAAACTACCAGTAACGACAAAGTGGACACCAAAAATTCCATACATCTCATTTAACCGAACACCAATATTCCATACTACAATTTGAATACAGATGGAGAAGTACTTGATTTACCAATTTGAATATATAATACATAGAATAATTATAGTCAATATCCTATTAATTTCTAGACAATATTATGTATGTGTAACTACATTCCAGAGTAAAAAAGGATATTTGAAGGGCTTTTCCTTAAGACACAATAACTTCACTTCTATTCGCTTAACTTCCAAGGATTTGTACAGAAGATATAATTATCAATAAATGGTCTCACTATAATTATAATGTCATTTTTAGCTTGGACTACATGTATACTACATATATATATATACTCAGTACACTATTGTGATATATTGATACTGCGACCACTCTCTAGTCCAGCATACTCCTTATGTAGGTTCGCCGGATAGTTATTGATGACCTTGCAGGTTATGACATTTTCTTATTCAACATCCGGTGTACATATATAGCCTTATATATATATCCAATGACTACTTCGCCGAATTCCATATAAACTATTATTTAATAGCACTAAGCACTAGAATTAACGAAGTTCTTCTCCCTAACATTGGTAGCTGGTTTTGGAACAATATATAAAAAGCATTTGCTACATACTTTGAGTAACATACTTCGCACCCGTATGTAAGAATTGGGCTTATAGACTGCGAACTCTGGAACTCTGTGCTTTGATTGAATCATATTATACCATTATCAGACAGTCCCGAAGACAAAATATTCATTTCGGAGGGAATATTTCCTTGTATTTAAATTATTGTAAGTTTTAATAACAGGTTATCTCTTTAAGAACTGGTTATTATTAAATTTGGTCTTTGATCTTATATACCTCATACCGAAGTCAACACTGGTCTTCTTTCTTTCAAATATTATTTTAAGCGGTTCTATTCGCCTGCAATGGCGGCTAATAGTATATTAAATTTAATTAAAATTACTTTAATGCGTACGCCATTATATTTATTATTATGTGAGAAATATTTTGCAACTCGGCTCAGGTGATCTATTCTGCTAACCCTAGTTTTCATAACCGATCCTAAGGCTTTTAATGAATTTTTAATTAGTGTAAAAATTATTGAAACATGCGAAATAATTTTTATATTATAGTATAATGTATATTATGTGGAAGCTATTTGAGTCAGTGCACTTGAGCACTTTTACTCTTTACTAACTCGAGGTATCTTCAAAATCCCACTTTACGCCTTGACTGAATTATTGTTTATCATTTCATCAGAGTAAGCACTAATCGACCTCAGATCTGCATACCTTCCCGAGGAGCCTGTAACCATTCTGAGATTTGATATTATAATTTATAATAATTATAATTTCTCAGTTTCTTTGGCATCAATATTTTAAAAAAGTAGAGTGAATACTAGAGCGGTCAAAATTGAAAGTTTATAAATAGGCCGTATATATCTATGTCTATAACTTTTTAAATATTTGACATTAAGTAAAGCACTTAATGTCCTCTATGACTGTAATACTCTGATGGACGACACTTGTAATTTGTATATTATAAGAGTATTAGAGACAATGTATTCTAAATGCCATAAATGAAGATAACTTTATCGAAAAAATGAAATACGAAGAATGATTTCAAAGGGAATGGTTACATTTTCCGATATAGAGGAATTAAAGAAAATGTTATTGGAAAAAACCTACAGTCAAACGACTCTTCATATTGCACACATAGTTTAAGTAAATACCAATTTTTAATCTAATAAAACTTAAGTAGGATTCTTAACATATTTTTACATATTATAAGCGATTCAAACTGTTTGTGGGGTCGCAACATTCTCATTCTCATAATACCTAATTATGCTCCCAACTTTATTTTAAAGGAATTGCACCATTCCCTTGCGGTCATTCTCTAAAGCAGATTTTTTCCATTTAATAGAGATGAAGTCTTTTTATTATAGTTAAGATTTCAATGATCACAATCTCTTCCTTAGACATAAGGTTAAATAAACAATAAAAGAATAAAAGAATATTTGTAACGTTAACAAAAAAAATATATTATAAAACTATACAAACAGTAAGTAGTACATCGACTATAAAAATCATTTCCTTAAATAATCAACAAATAACTTGAATTTCTATATTAAATATAAATTTAGATTCTAAAATTGTTTATCAAAAGATAGAGTTGACAGAATGTACATATTCTGTTTATTAAAACCGTTAATGAAAAGGCATTGAATTAGTAATTATATTACAAATTATAAATGCATACCCTTAAAAATAATGAAATGCTAAAATATACTTTAAAAAAGTAGTCCTGTGAAATCGTTTAATATGAACAGCAACACAATTTGCTAACCGGTATTTACTTGATGAGCGCCTTCGGGATGTAGACCCAACCGTTCTTGGAATAATAAATGCTTATAATTGCATGTCTTTAAAAAAAACTATTTAGATAAAACCAACTGTTTTGATTGTTGGCAGTTCTTAGACGATTTTCTTAGCCAGTAAGCAAACATTTTCCAATGTAACATCTTTTGGCACATAGTAATTAAGAGAAGCCTCATAACCATTTTTTCGCAAATATTCTAAACGCGCATGGTCCAGCACGCGTTTACACATAAAACCAATTTCCTCACGCTCAGCAAGTGTTAGACGTAATTTGTTTGGTTCGGATACATCAATACTGGTATCTGCTTCCTTCGTAACAATAGAAGTTTCCTTATCAGTAAGGAGTTGTGTTGCTGTAGCAACCACTGGTTCTTTGATAGTTTCTTTTGTTTTACTAATAACTTCTTCTGTAACACTACCATCTTCTTCGCCCGTAGTTTCTGATAATATTGTATCAATCTTATCATTATTCTCGGTAGTTCCTTCTTCGGCTGTATCAAGAGGACGCTCCACTCGTTGTTCTAATTCACGCCTTCGCTCTCGACTCATGCCAGTACCACAAATAGCCCAACCAACCATTTTAGTAATAATTGCAAATTCTCTTGGTATGATATTGTGCCTCTGACAGAATTCTTTACCAACAAATGAACGCCATTCACAACGATGATGACAACAAAGTGCTATCATAATAAACTCTGTAGCCTTAACAGAATTTGTAGGTTGCAATATACAACGTAAAGTTAAATCTGTCGCCGCACCACACAGATGCTTAGACACAGCAACGGTACGCGCCGTTTTCGTCAATAAATCCAATCGGTCCATATAGAAATCGGCAATATCGACACGTATACGTTTTACTAAGGAACGATCTTCTATTTTATTATCTTTTTTATGACGCAATGACATACGATCCAACAAAATCACTTGCGAATTTTCGTAATCTCCCAACAATTGTGCTAAGTAATAAGCCAGCTGCCCTTTGCCAGCACCAAATTCAACAAAACTGGTAGAATTTTGTAATTGCTCTTTCATATCCAGTATGCCAAGTAGTGCTGCAGTTTGCTCTAAATGTTTTCTCGTCTCTTTACCATAAGTTTGATTTGCCAATTCTGCATTCAATATTTTGTGCTGCGTCTGCAATGTTTGAATTTGATTAACAACATACATTTTGTATAATGACTTTATTTTGTCTATAACAGCTTGTAGTTCCTCTTCTGGCAGTTCACTTAGTTTCAAATGTCGGTAATCAAGCGCTTCAGGTGTCTCATCACCTGCGTTTAGAGCCTTTTGTATGTAAGCAGGTTCGTCATTTTTCTGGCGAGCATTACAAATTTTTAAATGTTTATATAGATTTTTACTATAAATCGTGTGTTTACTGTCTAGCGGACAAGGTATTCTATTACCTGTTAACGTTGTCGTTTCCTCGTTTGTTGCAGGCTCATGTTCACCACAATATTTCTTGCCATGTGCTAAAGTCATCTTGCAAAAGCGCTTCTTGCGCTGCACCCAATGTGCACATCTTTGTTCCGCCTCATTTGTTGAGTTAGTTATTTCAGTAGAATTCATCATTTTTGGTTTTTTAGCAACTATTTCTACTTCACTCATATTATTTACTAAAATAAATTAAAACGAGATTAATTATTTTCATAATTCCAAAAAAAATTGGTGCTGTCAAAAAAATACGAAACGAGTGACATTTAAATATCTGCTCATAAACATAGCTCAGAGTTGTGGAACGAAAAGAAAACGAAACAAACAATTATTTATGTTTTATGTATTTATTCCTTAATATTTACCAAAAATAAATTACACTGTACTGGCTATATAAGCCCTTGAATAAAGTAAGATTATACGTTAAGTAAAAATAAAGCAGTTGTGTATATATGATATATACATATGTTGAATATTTCTGTTCAAAATATGAAAATTTGAAAATATAAATATGAATTGATTGAATTACGATATCAGCATTGAATTTCGTACTTTAACAACAGATCTGTTCTTAGTTTTTAATGTTTGCATATAATTTTATCGCCACACTGTAGTAAAAGTAATAATATATTCACATTCTTTAATTTAGGCATTTGTTCATATATATTAATGAGTGAACGTTCACATTATAATCATCTAATTCATGAAGCTAATAGAACTATTATAAAGTTCACTTAATAATATCACACACAAAAAATTATATATATACTTCATATATTAAATCATTTATATGCATTTTATATGTAAATTACATATGCAAATAATTAAATCAAAAAATTTTATTCTATGTATGTTTTGTATGAAGAATAATACATAGCTACATATAAATGCAAACAACTATCTTGACTAAAGTGTTCTTATTTATACATTTGTAATATATTAGAACAAAAAGAATTTTTCAAGACAACAATCCAGTTATATAAACAATTATTTATATATGCATTAAATGCAATTAATAAGTTTTATATATATCTTTATTTTGTTTAGTAAATAGCAGCTAAAGTTCAATTATAATTTTCATTATAGTTTTTGTGCGTTATCTTGTTGCGATAATATGCCATTTATCGAAAATACCCTACTCCATAACTACCTAGCCAAGGCATCAGACATAGTTGCCTCTCTAATGGATAGGTATCTCTTGCTACTGCATCTGAACATGTTCAACGTCAATATTATCTTATCTTATTTACTGTAAGATAATCGAAAGCTTTTATATTACCATAGAAGCCACATCAGAAATGATCTAGCCGGTCCAGTGTACTCCACATCGCAATTTGTATTATAATTTAATCACATAGAAAATTGAATAATTCTGTACATATTTTGTAAATCGCTTGTATATTTTGTATATAGTAGATTAAGCTAGTCTAGGTTAAGCTAGTTCTAATGTAGTTGTTAGTTAGTACTAAGGTCGTGTGCGAGTTAGGCTAAGTTGCGTTCTAAATGAGGGAAATTCTAAGTTGTGCCGGTAATGTAGTGATGTGTCGATACGTGTTGATAAATGACTAAATCTGTGCAGTGCAAAAAATCCCAAAAAATTTCCCATTTGGTTTAGCATCAACTTAGCCTAACTCGCACACGTCCTAAGTAAAAATATTCACCCTAAATGATGTAATTTTTTTTTTTTTTGAACTTTTTTGGAAAACTCTATTATCAATGTAATTTACTTATTCATACATTGTGTTATATTAAGTGTCTATTATAAAGTAAGATACTCTTAGAAAAATACGCACATGTATGCTAAGAACTTGCTGTACTTAATATTCACCAATGTAATCTTTAGCTTTAAAAAAACCTTATAACAACAAAAATTTTTTTCACTAATAAAGCGAAATTATAAAATAAAAAATATCTTGTTCCGAAGCCACAGTATTTGAGTAATGAATAATAAACACAGCCGCGGATTTAACAAACGAACACATCTTTGACTTTGACAGTTCTATAGCGGCATTGTGCTGTCAAAAACTGGCGTTTTGCGAATTGTGTGCAGAGACAATTTGTGAAATTAGTTGCTTTCTATAAATAAAATTTCTATTGTACCATAAGTAGCATATTATTTTAAAATGTGTGTATTTTATTGTGAATAAAAAGCTTTTCCATAAATTGTAGAAATAACATATGCATTTTCTATATATTGCAGGGCGCTTGTTAAACCAAAGTCAGAATTGACACCAGAAGAATTGGCACGTCAAGAGGAGGAAGAGTTTAATACTGGTCCGTTATCTGTGCTGACACAATCAGTTAAAAACAATACACAAGTACTTATTAATTGCCGCAATAACAAAAAGTTGCTGGGACGTGTTAAAGCATTTGATCGTCACTGCAACATGGTTTTGGAGAATGTCAAGGAAATGTGGACGGAATTACCACGCACTGGCAAGGGCAAGAAAAAAGTAAAACCTGTCAATAAGGATCGTTTTATATCAAAAATGTTCTTACGTGGAGATTCTGTTATATTGGTACTACGCAACCCATTGGCAACAGCCGCGGGCAAGTAAATCGACTGGCTACTCACTAGGCATAACAAAATTTACAATTAAAAGCGTAGTATTAATCTTAATTAAATAAACAAAAAAATTTTTCTAATTCATGTTTTTCTTATTTGAATAATTCAGCAATTAAATTCAATAAGTTATAAATTTAAATTTATAACTGCAAAAAACGTAACATATAGAACGAAATATTGTAATTTAAAAAATGCATAATTGCCGAACAAACGTGTGACGCAGCTTCTGCAATTTCCACATTTTGCTTGCATGAAATTGCCGGCAAGTGGTATGCCCAAATTGTACTTTTCTGCAAATTGTTGTACACTGAAATGGTTACGATTCTTACGGTTACGCCTGCCTATACGTCGATCATCAAATTCCAACTTACTAGGCTGTTTATAAACCAAGAACACATAACGATGTAAGCCAGTACCTCTTGGCTGACCAGTACCTACGTAAGCTCTAAGGACATCACCTTCATCAACGGCATTGCCGGGTATGTTGCCTACGACCCAATGTGGAAATTCACGAGATTTGCCCCTTAGACGATTTAATATATCAGGATCCGTCATTAATAGAGTGTAGTAGGCTTTTTCATCAGCTTCCCAGTCCACTTTCGGTTCCTTTGTTAGTTGATCAATTGACAATTCGGCGCCTTTGTTAACTACTACACCATCTTCGTAAGTTACCTGCGTATTTTAGTTATAAATTAAATTAATAAGACTATAATGAAATTAAGTAATACTAACGTTAAGAAACTTGTTTGGGGAATTTGGTATAACGTCAGGAACCACTTCATGCTCTTTGAAAACCTTCTGCACTTCATCTTCTTCCAATGCAATTACGAGTGTAATTACGATTACAACAAAAATGCAAAGTGCATTTTTAAAGGTTTTAATTTGGAGCATTTTTAAGTTAAAATTTGCAATATTTAAATAAAATTATTTTGAAGTTTTAACTTTAATTCTTCAAAAAAAGTTCTTAAAAATTTTTACATATATTGTATGATTGTATATATTAGCTCTTAAGCGGTTTATAAAAGACGTAAGAAAGCTAATATATACGAACAATACATGAAGTAAAAATTTTTTATTTGTGTTTGAAATAATTTTGATTTACTTGTTACTTTTTTTTTGAATTAATTTTGAAAACGTTTTGAGGTTTAAATTTTCTTGTGTTGCTTAGACAAAGTGAAATAGAGTCATTCATATATTGTTTTAAATTTATATAAAATATCATATATGATGCAATATAATATATTTTTATTATAAGAACTTTATTGATTTTTAACGAATACCCAATCAGTCTTAATTGCAGTCCCACTGATTTCACAATGGCGAAGAAAAAACAACAAAATATTTTTTAAAACCTTTTAATAATCGAACTCATTAATAATTTATAATACTATTATTTTAATAAACACAATATAAAAAAATATACGCTGGAATTTAATTTAATTGCCTGAGAGTTGTTTATGCACAGTTGGCACATATTCATCCCACTGTGCTTGATAGAAATTTCCAGCAATTGGTGTACCCAAATTATATTTTTCCGCAAACTTTTTGGCACTGAAATTAGGACGATTATTGCGACTTCGATTGCTAACACGTGGTTCATCAAATTCCAACTTGCTTGGCTGCTTATAAAGCAAGAACACGTAACGATGTAGACCCGTACCTTCTGGTGGACCAGAACCTACGTAAGCTGTTATGACTTCACCTTGGCTAACAGCATTACCGGGTATATTAGCTACGAGCCAATGATGAAATTCACGTGATTTAGGGTTTGTGCGACTTGGTGCATCTGGATCTGTCATTATAAGCGTATAGTAAGTATTTTCTTCTGCAACCCAGTCAACTTTTGGCTCTGATTTCACTTGAGTGGGGGTCAATTCGGCACCTTTATCAACAGTTAAACCATTTTCATAAGTTACCTGTAAATTTGAATTATAATAAAAATATATAAAAGTGTTATGTAAAGCACCTTAAGAAACTGTTTTGGTGACGTTGGTATAACGTCAGGTACCACTTCATTCCCTTTGAATACCTTCTGCACTTCATCATCTTCCAAAGCATTTACAGATGCAATTGCGATTACAAGAAAAATGCAGAGTACATTTTTAAATGTTTTAATTGAGAACATCTTCAAGTAAATTATACAAATTTTAATTAAAAATGTTTCTTATGAACTCAACTATAATATATTTCAGTGTCTGCTTTAGAAAAATATTTGTTGAATTACAATTTTCCCTCTTTAGCTCAGCAACAGGTTTTCGTTAATTTTTCTTGGTGCTTAATTTACATAAAAAGCTTCCAACACTCGTCTTTAACCCTTCACTGACAGATTTTAAAATATTTTACATTTATTTATTTTGGTAATTCGTACATTTTTTATTAAAAATGTTTAATAAACGATGTACGAATATTCATATATGTAAAGCTTTTAATATTGTTATAAATTTTGATGTTTTTTTTTCTTTTTTGCTAAACAAAATTAATAATAAAAAAATTTTAAAGTAATCTTTGATAGAATTTGCTTTTGCTACTATGTCAAGATAAAGTCTTCTTGTTTATATCTTATTTAAACAAAAATTTTATTGTAACTCGTTAGGACCTGCTTGTGAAGTCCCAGTGGTCGCTGGCTTCGAGTGTTTCCGATACTTAGTCCCGGCCGTTTTTGAAACCTAGTCACATTATAACAATAATTAATATAATGTAATTTTTAAGCTGTACCTATTACAAAACCTTGGTCCAAATAATTTGCTCTGGTCATTAGCGTTCAAGAAATTTAATTAATTAAAAAACAAAGAAATGTTTTCTTGCTAAATATTTTAAAAAAAGACGTAATTAACAATTGTTAAATATTTTATTTTTAGAAAAACAAGATATACTGATGTTCAATTTAATTGCCTGAAAGCTGTTTATGCACAATTGGCACATATTCATCCCACTGTGCTTGATAGAAATTTCCAGCAATTGGTGTACCCAAATTATATTTTTCCGTAAACTTTTTAGCACTAAATTTGGGACGATTATTGCGACTTCGATTGCTAACACGTGGTTCATCAAATTCCAACTTGCTTGGCTGCTTATAAAGCAAGAACACATAACGATGTAGACCCGTACCTTCTGGTGGACCAGAACCTACGTAAGCTGTTATGACTTCACCCTGCTCAATGGCATTACCGGGTATATTGCCTACGAGCCAATGGTGAACTTCACGTAATTTGGGATCTGTGCGTGTGGGTGCATCTGGATCTGTCATTATAAGCGTGTAATAAATATTTTCTTCTGCAACCCAGTCAACTTTTGGCTCTGATTTCACTTGAGTGGGGGTCAAATCGGCACCTTTATCAACAGTTAAACCATTTTCATAGGTAATCTGTAAATTTTTATTATAATAAAAATTAATAAAAGTGTTATGTAAATCACCTTAAGAAATTGTTTCGGTGGAGTTAGTATAACGTCCGGTACCACTTCGTGTGCTTTGAAAACCTTCTCGACTTCATCTTCTTCCATTGCATTTACAAATGCAATTGTGATCACAAAAAAGGTGCAAAGTGCGTTTTTAAATATTTTAATTAAATGCATTTTAAAATTCAATTATATCTTAGTTTTGAATAATGAATATACTTGCTTATACTCTCAACTATATTTTAGTGTCTAATATAGAAATTTTTCAATGTTCGTTTAATTAAAATTTTCCCTCCCAAGTTCAACAACAGGTTTTCGTTAGCTTTTTTTGGTGCTAAATTTAAAAATAAGCTTTTAGATTTAAACTTTAACCCCTCGCTGACGGATTTTAAACAATTATATATTTATTATAAGAATGTTTTTATTTGGTATCATTTGTCTTATTATGGTTGTTAAAATCGCTTTTAAATTATATGTAGAATAAATATATATTTAATTTCATTTTTAATAATTATGTTAAATCTTTGATTTGACTGGCACTTGGGATAAATACTTGTTTTTATTCATAGTGAATCGAAAACCTATTGAATGGGATGTGCAGAACAAATAGTTTTTGGATGTTTGTTTGATTTTTTCTAAAACCGGGTCTTAAATACAATTTTATAAATGTTTATTTACTTAATAGTGGTACAATTTTTGCTAGAAACTATTTTGATGTTGAAGACCTAATTTCCTCACATTAATAGGTTGTGCAGGACATACAAGTAATTTTGGAATGCGTTTCTCATTTTTCTTTGAACTGGAAAAACCGTGTATTTAATATATTTCTGTGAATGTTTAATTTACGTTATAGCAGTACTTTTCGCAAATGTTTTTGCAAATAACTATTTTTAATATAAACACAGAAAATCTTTTAACTAAGAATATGGGTGTCATCTAAGCCCGTTGTGGGAAACGGAACATTAATTTTCAGTAATTAATAGCGCTATGTTCGTTACCATAGAAAAAGGAAATTTTCAAAAATGCATTTATGTTAGAACTTAGATTACAGGGTTAAGTATGATTGCCAATACTTCAATAAATATTATTGACCCATACTTTATTAAATAAATTTACGTTCCTTTTATATTTAGAATAGAATAGAATATGAAAAAAATTTTAAGATCCTCCTATTTATGTGATTATAACAGATTTTTTGTGCTAAGAACTAACTGTAACCGAAAAGAAGACAATCAGTCTTTTCCAAAAGACAATCTGTTTTTTCCAGAAGACAATCCATTCTTCAGAAGACAGTCCACCTTCTGCAGAAGATAGTTCGTCAAGAGATGAGCTCCAATCTCGACAAATTTTTGTAAAATAGATCAAGGTCGGATTGTTAAAGAAAATGTAATTTCAACGCCGCAGAAAAATCCATTATTTTGTCTTTATTTTATTTATATAAGAAATTTCCCTCTATATGTGTGTTTATAGTATTTATATTTTTTTATATATTTTTTTTGTGTCTATATTTTCTTCTCTAATTTTACTTCGTTTCTTTCTTAAGCATTAGGCTTATACAATCCAACAACTATTAGACTTATAGCAAACTATACATTATAGTAAAAAATTTGAAAATTTTTATTTCATCGGTTTAATTGAACTCTCAACCAACATTATAAGAATATATAAAATATATTAAATAACAATTATAAGTAAATAAATAAGTTTAAAAATAAATAAATAGGTTGCCTTATATAAATTATTTATAGCAAATTTTTGAAACGATCACTTCTTTTTAGACAGATTCTTATTATAAAAAGTTTTAGTTTTATTTCCTATAGCAAAAAAAAAAAAAAAATTAATTAAAATTAAATGATTAAAATGAAAACTAGAAAATATAATGTATATATAATCTTACCTTGGCTTTGAACTGGCAGAAGACTCAAATATTTTTGATTTCGAAGGGGGTGCGGTCTTTGAACTAGTTTTTGCTGTCGATGTTTTTTTACTGAAGGAAACTCCTTTTTTAGATTTTTTAGGCGATTTCTCAGTTTCTGAAGTTGTGTACCCGCCTATGAATGTAGCTGGCCTCCTTTTTCTTGTGTATATAACACATTTTTTAGGCTGGCAAGCAAGGGAAGACGATGTTGTACTGGCAACAGGTGTTGCGGCTTTTGCTGCTGTGGGATGGAAGTTCTTGTAAATAATAATTTGTAAATGTTCAAAATTTTTTTATAATATAAAAAATATAATTTTTAGGTCTCTAATTAAAGAAAGCGCTACAACTGTTCTAAATGCTACTCTCTTCTCTCTTTTTCTGGCACTAATGCAAGAATATATATAATTATATAGCTGTAAGCTTACTACTATATAACTACTACTATATAATTATATAATTACTTGATGTTTTTTTTATGGTAACAAAATATACCACAAGATATTTTAGTTGAATTTTGTTAGTAATTATATAATTATTTTTATAGACCTACACAATCAATTTTTGGTTTCTTGTTTTTTCGAACAACAGAAACACAATTTCTTACGTGGGGGCGCTTTCTTGGGTGTGGTCGGTTTTTGCTTTCTTTTGGCTAACAGCCAACGTATAAGTAGTATCAATAGTAACAGCAGCAGGAGCAGCAGTATTAGATAAATAAAGAACCATAGCACCCATTTCCAGCGAGCTTTCTTTTTACATTTGTCCTCAGATGAGAACGTATCAAGATCTTGCATATAGTTGTTTTGTCCGTATACATCGTTGTTGGTTTTATCACCAATAAAACCACCTTTATGTTTGCTATTTCCATCACTCATCCCAAGTAAATCAATATCATTGTTAGTATTAGTTTTACTATCGGTTTTCGTCATAAAATCATTCCAATCTCCTAGTGAGCTATCATCATTATCATTGTTTTCAGGTGACAATTTCGATATAGCTCCATCACCCTCCAACTCAGCTGCATCATCGGTTATATCCATTTCGTTTAATTCATCATCTTTTGTATTTACAAAATCTGCAGACTTCTTTTCTCTTCTTAAAATTTCAAAAATTCTTAAAACTGCACCCAGTCCGGGATAGAACTCTTCATCGGATAAATGTTCTTGAATATTATTAACAAGCCATATTTTAAATCTACGATTAAAGTTGTCTTGACATATATGCTGAAAGCTATAACAATGCGTTACGGTTTCGAAAAATTTCGCCAATATGAAACCAGATGTAGGGGCCTGAAGATTAAAGGTACGTCTATTACGAAAGGGCAAATATATATTGGCCAAATAACCATTCTTATCTACAGGATCAAGTTTCGGCAGTGTGACAATCATTTGTTCACCTGCATCACTCTCTTTACAAGGTGATAAATCTAAATGTGCGCAGCAATCTCTGTTTTTGTCCGCATCAGTTTCCATTTCAAAAGGTTTGATGGGTACATTCTTCAATTCGTTAATAATCTTCGCTGGTGTACAACTCCAGCCATTACCGTTGGTATTTAAATATTTCTTACACTGTAAGAATAGTGTTTCTAAACTTATATATGTCTTCAGATTAACGGTGCCTGCATAATATGAATGTTTAATAATCGGTAAGAGGAAAGTCTTTAAGTAACCACCAAGAGCGTCATAAAATGCCTTCTCTATTAGTGGTTTAGTTTCTTCACCTAAACCCTTGATAATATTATTGCAGCAGAGAAAATAATCCATTATAATAGTAATCATCTTGTCATTAAATAGGCAGTTCGGTAAGTCTTTTGGCAAAATCAACTGGAAGATAAGGAAGATAAGTGAAGTGCACAAATTTAGAATATTGAATATAGTTTTGTAGAATTTAAAATACCTCAAAATCTCTACGTGCTATAAGCAATGCAGCTTGTTCCTTAGAGAAACATTTCCTTCTATTTGCATCAAAAAGATTGGAGCCTACAAAATCTTCTATGCCTTCTTCTGTGCTGCAGTCACTTCTTGAAATTTTTTTTGTTTGTTCTTTTTGCTCTTTTCGCATTTTCTGCGATTTTGTTTTCGCTTCCTCATAATCTTCGTCGTCGTAATTGTAATCACTTTCATCCTTATCCCTCGTATCGTCATTCTTTTTCGCTATCGCTTTTACTTCCAGCGGTTTCGTGTTTACGATTGCTTCTAGTTTTAAATTCTTATCAACAGCGTCGGGATCTCGCACGGTCTGCAATTTAAAGTCGAAAACCGGGCAACCAGCGGGACAAATGTATACAAAGAGCAAGAGAAGAAAACATATTTTCATCTTCTCATTTTCACAATGCTTTACGCAAATACCGACCTCTTCTAATTCATTTAAAATAATTATTTTTAATAATTTTTTTCGAATTTTTAGTTGATATATTTTTCAAGGCAAGATTTTATAGAATTTTAATTAAAATTTTTATAATTCATTGAAGATACTTGTATCAATTTGTAGGTTTATCTGTGGGTAATAATAGTAAATATATTTTATTTATTTATGAAAGAAAATTAATTCGATAGTATTATTAAAGTAAATTAGAAAGCATTCTTAATACTTCATCTTTTTCCTTTATTATACTTTTCTCATAGTGGACAATTGGACCTTTACAGAGTTCTTATATCGAACTTAGTCTAAACATTATCGGTTAAAGTTATTTGAGGAATAGTCTGCAGCCTGAAACTTACCATTAATCGGTCCTCTGCCGTGTACTCCATCGCGGCAGTCACAATATAAGTATTCCATACGAATAGTTTTTTTGGAATATTTTTAGTATTGGATCCGATTCATTTTTTTGGGTCTACATATTTCTTAAGTGCTAGATCGCGTTCCATAGTTTTATATTATTTACGTGGTATTGTCAATATATGTACATGAATTGGTGGATACATTTGTTGAATGAGATTTGTTGGTCATTAATCGAACTACCTATTAATCTAGAATCAAAACCATATAACTGCTTCGATGTAAGCATTATAGAGCAGTTTGTTATTTTTAGTGAGGTTGGCTGGGACCGTTCGATATTTAAGAAGTGTCAAATACGATTTTTGTTTTTCTAATATATGTCATTTTACTTAAATCATTAGAGAGTCAATATCTCAAAACCCATAAGCATAGCCGATGAGCATGGTACCAACCTTACATTATCTGTCAGAAAAAAAATGATTAAAGAGACCAATGTAGGATTAATCTACAGTCGCTACAATGGCTAGAGAGAATATTTAAACTACCGGGACGATTGAGTAATCGATAACTATATAATCGTCTAAACATGATTAAGCTACACGGAGAGTCATGGCTATAGCCAGTGGCCATAGTTTAATCGAGTGTTTCGCATTATAGCCATTTTTTTTACAGATAACTTAGGAGAGGTTCCACGTCCATTGGATATCAATTTGATGGTGAGATTTTTAATTTTTAAGATCTACTCTTTAATATATATCTGGATTAAATTAGTTGTACTGTTTTATGTACTTTGAAATTGTTGGTGATGAATATTGTATTTATAGACTCCATAACCCAATATACAAACTAACGATCTCTTAAGTAATCAATACATTAATGTTATAATGTTTATCATTTTAGAATCCTTCTTAATGGTAGAACTCAAATGGGAGTGATGAACGGCACATGTTAAGTGATAAGTGATTACAGAAAGTAAATTGCTGTGTTTTAAGTATTCTACACTCGTATCGTCTAAGATTCATTTTTATAAACCATATATATGGTATATATATTTGTGTTTATATATTCCAGAACTATTAACTCATATAACATATAATTTATTCAAATTTAAAACTTTATAATTCACAAATAAGAAATTTTAGAAATATATTCAGATGCCAATCAAAATTATCCTTTTAATTGCTTATATACAGTGGGGACATAATCATCATATTCAGCTTGATAAAAGTTAGCAGCAATTGGATCACCAAGTTTGTATTTTGCAGAGAACTTCTTAGCACTAAACTTGCCACGGTTCGATCCAGAGGTCTTTGATATATTTGGTTCATTAAATTGAACCTTACCCGGTTGCTTGTAGAGGAGAAATACATACCGATGTAAGCCAGTATTTTTAGGCGGTGCTGAACCAACGTACTCAGTTAGCACATCACCCTGATCAATAGCACTACCTGGTATATTTGTAACCAACCAATGATGCCATTCACGAAACTTGGGTTCTGCACGACTTGGAGCATCTGGATCAGTCATAATAAGAGTGTAAAAAGTATCAGCTTCTGCATCCCAAACAACCTTTGGAGGAGATTTAACTTGAGTAGGGGTTAGAACATTACCATAATCAACGTTTTGACCACCACTGTAGTTGATCTATAAAAATCACATATTTTTTTTTATTAATCTAAGAGAAAAAAAATACACATACTTGCAATGATTGTCCGGGTAATTGTTGAACTACATCTGGTAGAACTTTATGTTTCTTAAACATTTTATCTAATTTATTCTCTTGAGCCATTTTAGAGATTATTTTTTGTAACAATTCTATAATTTTTTATATTATTAAATAAATTTTTAAATAATTTCAGTTGTAAATCAATAGAGCAAACACTTTTATAAAAAAAAGTTTATAACTACTTGAATTTTTTTTTATTTTCCAATTTAAAATGTCAAAAAATACAGTGTTGCTAACTATATTAAAATTATTTTAGTAACTCTGTGAGGTATGTTAAAATAGTCCATAAGATTGGGAGTAATCTAGAGCTTCAACTTTTTTACTTTTTATATCATAAAAAATAATGGTACACGGGCTACATATATAGACAAATTAGATCTGAATAGTTTTAAATTAAAATCTTTGAAGATGGGTAGGCCTTTGAAATGAATCGAAGGACTATATTTACACATACATTCACATTTAGTATAAATTTTTCAAGACTGTTTAATAAGATAAAAACCTTTTCTCATGTTACTAAAATGATCTAAAACCCTCCGTAATATATTTGTGCCTGAAGATAGATATAAGATTTTCAATTCATTAAGAGAGCTAAATTCTATTTCCATAGCTCGTGCCAATGGCTTTGTGGCCAATACTAAATGGGTATAGTGACATGTGCAAATTCTCAACGGTATCACAATGGACCCCATGGTCTAAGTGAGTCTTCGGACAGCCCTAGTAACCTAACCTAACCTAACGTAGATATAAGATTTAATAAAAATATCGTTAGGAACATAATTACTAAAATTATGCCCATGGGCGATATATATTTGCCATTAATAGATATACGACTATTATTATGGTCACTTTAAATAAGCTTAGTAATTATATATTCCTAAATTAAATAATACAAATTTTCCACTGCATAATTCAATTAATAATTTGATTTATATTTAATAATATTATTTACATATGGAGAAAACTTTGAACCGCGACTCAGATAGTCTACTATTCAAGCTCTAGTTATCTTAATTGATCATTAAGTTTTTAATGAACTTGATTACATTATATGGTTTTTCTTCTTTCAAAAAATTATGATGCAAAGAGTCTGTCCTAAAGTTGGACAAATCAGCTGTTGCTTACTTTTGGACATACACATAGATAGATCAGACATTTCAGCATTGTTTGAACTATTGGAGATATTGGTTTTTATAAGATCAATTTGTTGAGATAGTATACTAATCCGTACTGAACTGTCATTAATGAACTCCGTAAGAATTTTGATTTTCATGTTAATTTATTTTAGAATTTTAGAGCAGATTGTTTTGGAAAAGCTATTAATTTCTTTAGTCCTTTCGTTTGGATTTTGATCTGAAGTTATGTGTGTACCCGAGACTTCATACTAAGGTCGTGTGCGAGTTAGGCTAAGTTGCGTTCTAAATGAGGGAAATTCTAAGTTGTGTCGATAATGTATTGATGTGTCGATACGTGTTGATAAATGGCAAAATGTGTGCAGTGCAAAAAATCCCAAAAAATCTCCCATTTGGTTTAGCATCAACTTAGCCTAAAGCGCACACGACCTAATTACCCTTCATTATAAAAAATTTACGAATAAAAAATAATTCTTTTTATTTTTAAATTTATTGAACACCTTGAAGAATAGAGATTAAAATATATAAAAACTATGATTTAAGAAAAAGGTAATTTCTTTCAATACTAAAACATATAGAAAAAAGATATTACTCTTCCATTATCCAAATAGTTGCTGTTCCAGTTCTGGTACATAGCTATCAAATTCGGTTTGAAAAAAATTGGCAGCAATAGGATGATTAAGTTCATATTTTGCAGAAAACTTCTTTGAAGAAAAGGATAAACGATCCATACCATTGTTTTCAGAAATAAAATTTTCTTCAAAATTTAGTATACATGGTTGTTTGAAAACCAAAAATACTATTCTGTGCAAGCCTGTATTCATCGGTGGCACTGGTCCAATATATTCAGCAAGTTCATTGCCATAATCCAGTCTATTACCAGGTATATTTACAATAAGCCAGTGAAGAAATTCACGGTAAACAGGTCTGGCACGATTTGGTTGGTCTGGATTGATCATCATTAGTGAGTAAGTAGCATTGGAATCTGTATTCCAATTAACATAGGGCGCTTGTTTAAGATATGTCGGTTCTATTTCATTTCCACCCCATACTACTTCACCAGTACGATATAAAATCTAAAACATTTCAATTAAATTATATTTATTTAGTTATACGTACACTAATTAGAATTAAACTTACTTGCAAATATTGGTCAGGAGAATAACTTAAAACGTCGGGAATCACTTGGAATTTGTGAAAGCTGTTATGTATTTCATATTCTGGTGGCATTTCGAACAGATAAATATTTATTATTGTTAGCTTATGAAACAAAAATCTTGGTTATTGAAAACAGCTGAAATTTTTTTTTCTGAGATATATATTTTTTTATCTGTATAATAATTTTTTGTTCTTAAAAAGTTTTTCATTTGTTACTAAGTTCTGAGACTAAGTTCTAAGTTACTAAGTCCTGCACTGAGCTTTTCTAATTTACAGTAATAATTAGTATGTTTATGCTTATATTATGTGATCAGAATTAAAGAGTTGAACATGGGTAATACGTAAATCAATACTTGTCTCCAGAACAGTAAAATTAAAAATTGTGATGAGATCACACCCTTTACTTATAAACAGTGCAAGGTTTCTCTTAGCTGGTTTCTGAGACTTAAGATATTGAACGAAAAGAGGTAACTCGGAGGTGCACGTAAATATGATCACCTCTGCTTAAACATGTGGAAGAATTAACCTTTGAGTTTTCTTCTGAGAACAAATGGGAGAGTGTGATGGGAGGGGAAGGATGGGGGCAGTTTCAAATATTGCTACTATAGTAATGAGTATGCAATGATAACTTGAAAGATATTGAAATCCCTCGAAAGTTTCGATTAAGCATATAAAGCCAGACTCTTCCACATAGAAATATTGAAAAGAAGCGCCAGTGGAAGCAGTTATTTGCAGCATTGACATGACAAAAAAAACCTAACCTATAATAAACAATTTAGCGATTAGAAATGACTTGTAAATTAACTGCGAAGACTAGGATTAGCGAAACCGGAAAAAATTATTTGGTCTTCAGTAAATCAGCACGCAGCAACAATTATAATAATAATTATAATAATAATTTAATCGAATTGTATTTTGTTTTTTCTACTTAACTACATTAATCTCTTACCGAGTACTCTACTCGATATTGTGAACACCACTATTCAGAGAGTCGGTATATATTTGTTACTTATCAACATACTTTGTTATAATTGTGGCTTATTAACCATAGCCATAATTGCTGCAATAAGTTTTCTCTTATCTTGTAGTACGGCTGTGAAATATGGATGCACTCCAGAAATATAGAGAGAAAGGTGCAAGTGTTTCTCAACAAGTGTCTACGTAAAATTCTCAAAATATGATGGCTAGATCGAATATCAAATGAACGCCTGCTGAACCAAAGGACGCAAAAAGCAGCACAAACTGAGACAAAAATAAGGAAGTGGAAGTGAATAGGCTATACGCTTACACAACCGAGATATTGGCATAGCGAGGCAAGCATTGGCATGGCATCCACAAGGCAGCAGAAGACCTGGTGCGCTAGCGAAAACATGGAGAAGAACGATTAAAGCTAGCGGAAGCTAGCAAAGAAGCACTAAACAGAGTCAGATTTAGAAGAATTATTGAGGCCTCACTGGGAGAAGTGGGCAATAGTAGTATATTAAATGTCTTTATTTCCAAAATGAGTATTTAAAAAATACGAAGATTCTAACCTAGTCCCTTAAAATTGGTTAAATTACTGCTCATTTATCTTACCCAAATAAAGTGCCACAATAAACAAAATAAAACATAAAATTTTAATGATGAATTTGAATATTTAAAATTTTCCACTAAGATGTAATTTATTGCTTTATTTTATAATAAATTTATAATTTTATGCAATCGCCTCTTAAGCATCAGGTTTTGAAACGCTCCATTTTCACTTTCATTGTGTGACGTTAAAATATACAAAATTAATTTATGCACTGATTTTGCAATAATTTACCGATAAGTAAAATAGTATGCAATAAAACACATAACAATAAAAAAACATTAATTATAAACTTTTAACATTTAAATGAAAAAATTCAAACGAGTTTTGTTTTTTTAACCAAACAACCAGTCAACTCCGCTCGACACTATAGACCCAACTGCTTGTGTACCGTGGGCACATAATCGTCATATTGGGCTTGATAGAAATTACCAGCTACAGGTGCACCCAAATCATATTTGCTTATGAAATTTTTAGTTGAGAACTTAGGACGTCCGCTGGCACTCTTGTTACTAATATGCTTCTCACCACGGAATTGTATTTTTGTCGGTTGCTTGAAAAGTAAAAATACATAACGATGCAAGCCAGTATCTTTTGGAGGCCCAGATCCGATATAATCAGTGAGTACTTCACCTTTGTTTAAATTATCGCCAGGTATATTGACCACTAGCCAATGTAGAAATTCGCGTGATTTTGGTTCAGCACGGCTAGGTGCATCAGGATCAGTCATGATAAGCGTATAATATGTGCCAGCCGCTGGTGTCCATTCCACTTTGGGTTTATTCTTCACTTGTGTTGGTGTTAGCTCTACACCCTTATCAGCACCGACGCCACTATCAAAGCTAATCTGTTATTTGATAGATAAAAGAGGTGAGGTGTATAGCATATTTATTGAACTTTCATACCTTTAAAAAATTCTTTGGACCCACATCAATGACATCTGGTATGACCTCTAAGTGTTTCATAAACTTTGTCACTTCAGTATCTTGCGTGCTATCCGCTGATGTCAACAGAAATAAACAAAAGAGTAACAAACCGCTGAAGCGCAACATTTTCAAAGATCGTAAATAATAATTAATCTATAATTTAATTACACTAATAATACAGATATATATTTATATAATATGTATATTTATAAATATAAATCCAATTTGATAATTTTTTTTGATGTCTTCCGCTACAACCGCTCTCAAGCGCTGCTGTATCACAAATGCATTTCGGTGCGAACAATCATCGACTACAAAACTTGTGGACTTCAGATGTTAAAAAACTTTTTTTATTAAATTTTATTTATATTTTTTAATCTATTTGTGTATTTTAAGCTAAAACAGCTTTTTTGTTTAGGGTTTGCACAGACCAGTTTATTTCTGAAACGACTTGAAATGAATACCACGGCTTCACCTAGAAAACAGCTGTTCGCCGGCTGTTTCGCTGCTTATCTAGTTTTGGTATTGAAATCTACATGAGGTCAGGCGTTGTATCTATGTGGGTAGGTGCTTTAGCTTTAATAAGATTAAAGAATCTGATATGCGAATACTGTAAGCTAATAACTAATGCATTGTATTTGAGATTAAGATTTGCAAGGAAAATTTGATATTTTAACGGAAACTGTGATTTGAGGCCGTTGGAAATATAGCACGAAAGATATATAATTAAATTTTATTCAGGTTTACAAAATTTACTGTAATAATAGTTTACATCAAATAAATTTTTTTTGTATATTAATTTTAGTAATTTTAATTTAAATATAATTTATTAATTTTAGATAAGTAAATGTTTAGAAAATATATTTTGAAGTCTTTTCTTCTACACATAACATTATTGAGTAAATTGAGGTAAAATTGTGATTTACTTATGTAAATATTTATTTATTTATTTATTGCATTTATTTATTATTTTTGGTTAAAAGTTTTTAAATTTATTTATTAAATATTTTATAAAATTTTCACAATGGTAACACCTTATTTGCCTAATTTTTATTTAATTTACCCTACTCGAAATTCTTTTAAATATAAACATTCGCTGCCATTCGACATCATTTACTATTTCTCTCAATTTACCATCAATTTACTCGAACTCGCACACGGCCGCAATTTCTTAATGCTGGGCATCTTCTAAAAACAAGCAGTATTTTAATCAAGAATTTCATTAAAATTGAAGTGATCTATTTTTTAAAATTCGTTCATGACACAGGCATCTTCTGTAACGGAAATTCACTATCAAGCTCTCCTAAGAACTTGACTAAAGTTCTTTGAAGCTAGCATATTCGAAACACTAAGCTTTGTCCATGATACTAGAGTGAATGATTTCTTAAAATTTATTAAAGATCACATATTTTCCGTAGGTTTTTCATAATTATTTCATATAATTATCGGGGTCTCTCAAGAATTCGACTAAAATTGTTTAAATCTAGAATCTTGAAGAAGCTAAATTTCGTTACTTATTTGAAAGGACTCTCACCTAATATCGTTAAGGACTTATAGGTCTATACATGGCATTGGCCAACTAGCTGGTCTTTGCATGATTTGATCTGCTCGTTTAGCTACACCAACCTACGTATATATTTTTACTGCAGCTATTTATAAAAATTGTCAATAACTATTGTCTTACTTAACATATAATATGATTGATCAAATACCGTCCGCGTAATAAAACTTGTAGTACTGAATGTTATATATTTATTAAATTATTGGATGAGATAAATAACCCATATTTTACAAAGCCACACAAACTTATGATCACATGTAAAATTGGGTTCATTTAACTATTTTCAGAAATATGTTTTATGTTTGAGCAGAAATGATTAAGAAACTCTTGCCAGTACTTAAAACATTTCTTTTGATGGCTTCTGTTTATTTACTAATAGTTTTTTGTTATATATTTTATATGATCCTACTGCCAAGAATACCTTCAAAGTCATTAATCTCAAGAAAATCTTTATAAACCTTAGGAGGTTGCGTATCGACATTTAAATTCGATTTAGCTTCTTCTTCAGCAGTAACTTCCACATCTGAGTTTCCGTTCTTACATTGAAGCTGATTCGATGCCTTTTTGGAGCCTTTTTTCAATTCCTTCTTCTCAACAATGCTCTTTGTCGTCATATCTAGTTTCTCCACTTTTGGTACTTGGGATGATTTTTTAGTTTTCATTTTACGTTTATTTTTCTTTACTTTTAATGGAGTGTGAATTGTTGGTGAGGAATTGGAATCATCTAAGCTGTTACTGTTATTAAATACAGTTAGGTAGAAGCATGTTTAAATAATAAATACAAGACAATTTCTTACTCATTTAATGGGTGGAGTTTCCCCTCAGCAATTAATGTCTCCAATTTGATTCTGGCCAATTCTAAAAGGCGACCTGTACTCATATATGCCTGACGCTCCATTTTAGTCGGGTAATATTTAAAGTGCGAAATATTAGTTAAGATGACAACCGACGGAGCGAATAATATAATTAGTTTTTTTAGTGCATTTTTGGAAATGATAAATAAATTTATAAGATTTTTTTAAAATTAAGTTTATGTTAAAATTTACCTATTTTTTATTTGATGTTTATGGCATATTATATTTGATTAAAGATAAGTTTGGAATATGTTCACACAAACAAATAAAGGTTGATTTAGTAGGTAAACTTGATGCGAAATGTTCCGGAAAAATATTGTTTATGATAAGTTTAAGTATATAAAGCCTCACCTAATATTAAGTTATTGTTAAGACCTGTTCGATTGGTAATCAACAGTTTGAAATGCGAATTTGGACTAGGAAAATCTACAGTTCCTGAACATAAAGAGAATAAGTACTAGCACAGAACTAAAGCAAATTATTTAAAGCTACTAATGCTGAACAGAAGTGGCATCCGTCTTGTCATAGGGTTTCTCACAGGGCATTGTGGAGTAAAATGGCATCTACCGAACATAGGTATTGCTAGAGACGATAGCTGTAGACTTTGTTACGAAGTAGAGGAAGGTCCACAACGCAGACTCAGAGGATCACATACGAGGATCTAAATCTATGCATCACTCATGCTACAGGGAGATCATTTTAAAAGGCAACAATCAATCTTTTTTTAAGTTCTACTATAAAGAAATCCAGTTTTAAATAGTACTCTATCTCTAAAACCTCTCAGGTCAAATAAAATTTTGTGAACTACTAAGAATAATTGTAGCGCAATCTGAATTAGGGTATAGCTAAGTATTTGGACAAATACTTATCGTGTGTATGTCTCACTAAGTGTGGTAAATTTGCAGATTATATATGACGTTATGATCAGTGTCTAATCTGTGTCTAATTTTCTTGTGGTATCAATGCCAAGCTTTCTGAGATTTGATAAAAATTGGATATGTTCTCATCTCGTTCTCATAGTTATCTCTTTTTATTTTTCCATTCTATCTCTAATCCTATTAAATATTCCAATCTTACAGTATGAATACTTCTTTAACATGATAGATTGAGTGTGTTTTTAAATTCTTGGATTGCCACTGTAACTGGTTAGATTCCAAGATACAATGTATTAATAACAAGATGTGTTTGACATATTCCTTAAGCTAAGTACCGAACTTATATTTACAGTTAATAACTAAATTTAAAATTAACTTCTATCCTATTAGAGTTGGAAGAACTTCTATCTTATAGTTGGAAGAACTGAAATTTCTCTTCAATTTTTGGGCCTTTAGATCCACTTTGTTCTCCTAGGGCTTAGAGTCTTTGGGCTTTTAGAGGTTTTAGTATTTACTACAACTCTGATTTACTCTAAGTGAATATTTTTATATTTATAGAAAAACAGGTCTTAGATCAAATCTAAGATTAAATGCAGTGATTAGGAATTACGTGGAAATATAATATAAATAAAAAATACATATTCTAAAAATAAAATTGAAATTAAATTGAGTTTCGGCTGAAGTAATGACTTGCCAGTGAATATAATCAGCAACTGGTGGTCAGTTACTAAGAAAAAATCAGCTTGAAAAATTTTAAAATTGACACAAATATAACTTATAATATATAGCTTATGACAACTTTGAATTGCTAGTTAATAATAATTTAAAAACACTCTATTAGATAAACTATTCTATAGACATGCATGACAATATAGATGCATGTCATAAGATGTGCGCGCAAATTTAAATCGCTCCGTGACTTTAATGTTCTTAATTAAAAAAGCTAGTGACTCTAAAGGTAAAACTATTAAACTAGTGCCCAATTTTAGGGAGAAAAGCAGAATTTTTGTAAATTTAAAACACTTTTATTGACAAAGTTAATTTATTTTGCAAAATTATTCTGTTGAATTTGTTTACTTATCTTTTATCACACTCATTTAAAAATAGCTGATAGAGTCAGCATTTAAAGCCCAAAACCAGAGAATACTAGGTGGTCGTGACCGCTATATGCCATTCATGAGTATTGAGCATAAGATTATTTTAAATATTCGAAACCACAGATTACCATTTTAACATAAATAAGAATAAGTACAGTACGAGTTAAAAAATCTAGATAGTAATAAAATTTATTTTCAAAATTAATTAAAATGGGAGTGTCTGCTAATATTCGCTTTGTGTATGTATGTACAGCTCTTTGCATATGGAAGGATTATTTACTTCTCCTCTGGTAATAAATAATAAAAAATTGTATACTTTTAGGGCTTAAAAAAATGTATCAGTAAATTAATTGTAAATGTGCTTCATAAATACTCATTTATTTTAAAATTTAAATTTTATGGATGAATTTGTTTTAACTTTTTATATATGTAATAATTAATATTACTTAGTTCTGGAGGAGTTAAGAAAGTGTGAAATATTCTTAGAGCAAAATAAGTAAGTTATTTGGCATAATTTTTTAATATAGAAAAAATTAAGTGTTATAATTACAAAAGAGTTCTATTCTCTCATAACCCTTTTCATATATAAATACTTTCCTCTTATTGTGCCCTGTTAGACATGTAAATATTTTTAATGCCAAGTAAAATGTATCTGACAATTCGTTCACACTTGAAAGAGTTGTCTATAAAAGTCTTTATACACTTTTTAAATATCCAAAATCGCATCATATCTTGAGTACCATTTAACGATTTTTTCTCCATTAAAAAAATAAACCCCGTAATTGGTTTTCTTCTGCTTTGGGGTTATTAAAAATGTTTACGCGTGATTGAGGCCATGAAGTTCAGTGGCCTTTAAAATGTTTTTCTTTGATTTATTTAAGAAAAATTTGTATTTTTCGAAATCTCATAAGTATTATTATTTAAGGTCTAATGGATAGCAAAAATACCTCCAGGGTTGCCAATTAAATTTTTAATAAAAAATAAAGTAACAATATTTTTTCAAACAATTTTCTGTTTATTTTTAATTTGCCTTTCAATAAATTAAATAAATATTTTAACTTAAATTTTTAGGGTTTTGGTTTGGTCAAAGTTCGCAGTAAATTTAATATTTAGAAGAAAAAGAAAATATAAAAAATTAAATAAAGTAATAGAGAAAGAGAAAGGAAATTAGCAGGAAATATTTTAGAGAAAATGAATAGAAAATTTACAAAGTAAGAGATAGTTAATAACAGAAAATAGCTGAGTTTAAAAATAGTAGAAAAAGAAAAAAGTAGTGAAAGAAAGAGTTAAGAATGACTAAAATTCTATATAAAAATAAATTATAATTAAATATGTACTACGTGGCTTTATCGTTTTTAGAATTTTTCTCTGTTTCCTTTTTCACTTTTCCGTCCATTTTTGAAGTTTCATTTAGTTTCATTTTTTCTTTTCTTTACAATATTCTCTATCAGCAGTCGAGGCAACAGTAAGTTGCCTAATTAAAGTTATGTTCAGTTCATCTGTTGTTTAAGAAGATGAACTATAGCTGGAACCGGTGCTGCTGGAGGTGGAGTATGATGAGCTGCTGGGATGGTATGAGCTGTAGGCTAAATTTTGTGCATCCCAACGTGCGTATGGACCACCGCTTTGAGGTTCCCAACTGCTTGGGTCATATGATGAGGCAGTAGTGCTTGGTACACCATATTCGGGGGCAGGCATTGGTGGCATTGGCATCATGGTCATTTTCATACCTCCTAATTTTTGTATTAAATTATAGATGAGGAAGCCAAGTACAAGTTTAATAGCGATTTTCGACAAAATCAAAGCCTTGAATGCTTTGAGTCCAATCAATGACATAATTATGGGCATTATGACCTTCAATTTCAATTTCATGAGCAACAACAATGGCAGGAAGAGTTTCTCCTTATTCTTCTTTTCGGCACGAGCTGAAAAATTATTTTTTATAATTATTTTTTTTTAATTCTTATTTTTTTTTTGTGTTTAAATTTAAATTAATTTTTTGTGTATTAATTTTTAACTTTTAATTTTGAAGTTATTGAATAAAGTGGACTTTAATTAAAACAATTAATAATAATAGTATTTAATAAGTTTTTGAGTTTAGATATAATATTGTATATTATTGTATATTATAATACTATTATGTATAGTATTATTATATATATTATTTAATTTTATATATAGTTATATATATAATTATTTATATAGTTATATATAAATCCTTACACATACATAGTTATATATATTTATTTATTTTTATAATTTATTTTTATAAATATATATTTAATATTATATACATAATATTATTTATTATACATAACAATAAGATAAAATAAAAATATAAATAGAATATAAGAATACACAAATAGTATAATAATGAAATAATAAAAGTATGTAATAGAAAATAATGTCATATGTGAAAAGTGAAACTCTCTCGATGACTTCATATAAGCTAGGTAGGTATCGTTAATATAAAAATTTATTTCTGAAATATTACGAAGGTGATTAATGCTTAATAATTTATATATAAATATTATTATTTTTTATAGAGGAGTTTTCGAATAGCAAAGAAAGAAATAAAGTACAAACACAAAAATTTATTTTTAATTTTATTGAAGTTCGGCTGACCATACAACGCTGTTTCGAGTATTGCCAAGTACTCTTCATCAGTGGTCTTTAGAAATAATCGAATTTTATTTAATTAGTTTATAGTCCGTATATAATTTGTTTGGACTGCAAGTGCCAGGCTTAGAACTCGTGCCTGTCAAATTAGAAGCGATGACTAATCGTGTTTATCCACAAGAAGCCAAGGCTGCACTTGCAGTCCAAACAAATTATATACGACTATAAAACTAATTAAATAAAATTCGATTATTTCCAAAGACCACTGATGAAGAGCACTTGGCAATACTCGAAACAGCGTTGTATGGTCAGCCGAACTTCAATAAAATTAAAAATAAATTTTTGTGTTTGTACTTTATTTCTTTCTTTGCTATTCGAAAACTCCTCTAAAATTTAATAAAGCTTCTTTGTCCCTATACAAAGTAAGTCTAGCTTAACAGCAATACTAATACTTTATTATTTTTTATATTTAAATTATTTATAATTTAATTTTTATCTTAATTTTGTTATATAGTTTGTTATTAAATTGTTAATAATTTTGTTATTATAACTC